GTTAGCTATTATTTATATTAAGAAAATTATTATTATAAAAAAAATATAAACTATATTAAGTTTATTCTTTTTACTATAAAGCTAATAAGTAAAAACTAGTACTATTATTAACCTCCTTTAAAGTCCTTTCAGTCTCTTAAATAAGAGCTATTTAGTTCTAGTTCTAGTTTAAGTAAAAGAAAAAAAAAACTAGCTTAACTACTATATAAAAGCTTATACTTAAGTAACGCTATAAAAGGCTTTAAAAAGAGAACTATAGTCTAATAAGGCTTTAAAAAAAGAACTATAGTCTAATAGTTAAGAGAGATACTATAAAAAGAAATAAAAATACTACTTAAAAGATATTTTTATAAATAGGCTAGTACTAAGAATTACTATAAAAAATTACTATAAATAGAAAAATCTTATTACTAATATTTAACTTTTTACCTATAAACCTTTATATAATATACCTTCTTTAACTTATTACTTAGTAATAAATTTTAATACTTTACTCTTAAAACTACTAGTTTTTTTTTTTTTATTATTAATTAGTTTAAAATAACGAAATAAATATTATAATTAAGATCTTTTTTAAACTTTATAAAGTCTTTTATTACCTTATTAACTTTAGCTTTTTTTTATAATAGTTATTTTTTTTCTTTTTCTTTTTCTTATAACTTTAACTTTAGTATCTCCTTTTTATTACTAAAGTATTTATTTTTAAGCTTTTATATTAATTTATTAATATAAATATTAGCTTTAATAATAATAAGTCTTTTTTTTAGTAACTTATTATTATTAATAAAAATATATTATTATTAGAATTATTTATTAAATTATTAGTTTTATAAAAATATAAAAATACTAAGAAATAATATAAATAACTATAATAATATATAAAAAGACTAACTTTCTTATATATCCCTTAAGTTATTATTATTATTTCTATTATCTTTCTTATTCTTATTTACCTTAAAGTTAATCTCTTAGCTATATATAACCTTATTAACTAATAATATAGTACTACCTTTCCTAGTATTTATACCTTATATCTCTTTATATAGATCTAGTAGTCCTAATCCTTTTTTAAAAACTTACTTATACTTTAAGTAAGTAATTAAAAAGTTCTCTCTTACCTTATTACTACAAAAGACCTTTCTATTATCTTCATTAAACGTATTACTTAACTTATAAGTAATAGACGTCTAAATAAAAAACCTTTTTTTTTTACTATTATACTTATTTTTTATTTACTTACTAGTTATAAGACTAATAAACTAGCCTTTAATATTAATTTATACTATAAGATCTTTAAAGACTAGCTTTTTTATAATAGCCTTATTAGTATTAAGGTTTTTATTATAGTATAGATTAAAAAGCTTCTCTATAAAGCAATAAGTAAGCTCTAAAGTCTAAATAATATAAAAGTATATTAGTATTTATTAACTAAATAAATCTTTAAAAAAAAGCAATATACTACTTAAAGATTTATTATTAACTTTATTATATTTTTTATTATTATCTTTATTATAAACTTTAATAACATCTTAAATAACCTCTTTATTAAGCTATTACTTCTTTATTAGCTTTCTTTCTAATTAATATAATAGGTCTTTTTATTTATTAGTAATAAAAGCTAAAGTAATTAGTTAAATAACAATAAAGCCCTTTATATTAATAAAAAGCCCTTTTTTGCTCTACTAGTCACTTATTATAAAGGTATAAGTAATTATAATAATTATTTATAGTAATCTAATAAAAAATAATAATATAGATAAAAGTAAAGGGAAATAAAGCTTATTTAGCTTAGAGAAAAGGGAAAGTAGTGAAGATAATAACCTCCACAGAGATAACAGCAATACATTACCTAATTTAAGCCTTAATAATACAGGAAACTCTACTTAATTTCAACCTGAGGTATTTTTTACTATGGTACAGCCATTACCGCACTTATAACGCAGTCATCGATCAGGCTCTTACAAAGAAGAAACAGCGCTCTGTGGGATAGCTATGCAACTGCACCCAGTGGAGGTTCTGGCTATCGATAGACGTCAAAGTAAACAGTATGTAGCTCAAGCTGAGGTGCAGCTTCGCCGACTTGGTGCCGCCCAAAATATTGCCTGAGAATTCACTGAGCCTTTCGAGCCTCAATTCTTTCCAACCTTGCCCTGTTGTACTGCAGTGTAGGCACCCAATTACCGGGGAGAATTTGTTGAAGTGGGCAATGTGGCTGCGCGCACAACGAAAGTGGGGCAATTCGGCAAAATGACGGATACATACCTTGGACGGATTTCGCCAGCTAAATACGCGAAATCCGATGGCACGTGCATCTTAGTACTAGGCAAAGGGGGGGGGTCCGCCGGAAGAGGGGACTCTCCCACACACAATAGCAGATACACAAGCAATAGTCACAACAAGGATATCCTATCAATTGACGTACTTCGACAGAATTAGAGAGGCTAAGTGCTAACCGAAAAGCACAGGCAGCCCGCGCACGTGCCCATCACCTCGTTGAATCACCAAAAGAGCATGCCGTCCATCCTTAGTCCTTGCCAATTATATAGGCCGTCATCACTAGTTTTAGTTAAATGCAGGCTGTGCTTGTAGTATACACAAAGCAGTGGTAATAGTCCTAAGAAACTGGGACGGCCCACTGGGACGGCCCACTGGGACGGCCCTAATCCTTCGTTCATCCGACATGCCGCTTACTGCTTTTCCCTTCAATATCGTCGGCCTCAGTTACTTACATACTCCAAGAACCATTTCTATGAGCTTCAACCATCCTCTAAGGATCCTTTTCGCGTTGGGCACAAAATGATTTCTTCTCATGGCACTGCCTCTATAATCCGAGGGGCTTTCTGGACCGCCAGCGTTGCCGTCGTGCTTGTTACTTTGTACCTTGTTGCCATCAAAGTACAACGTCGGAGACAAAGCTTGCGCCCAGATGGAATCGAGGTTGTTCACAATCCGTCAAACGCCAGTTTTGAGTGAGAAGGATCCGCGTCCTTAACATGTGGTTTTCATGCCGCTGACGCTCTTCACAGAATTGCTACAGTACACACACCTTACTAGTGGCCTATCTTTATGCCAGTTGTTTTGCGGTTGTAAAATGTTGGAAATGCTTTGGGATCCTTTGACGGCAGCATGACGGGCGTCGATTGTGGAGTTATCTCGGCGGCGGCTCTGGCAGGCCGACCGGGAGTGACACTTCGACGACTGTTAGTAGGCCGCTCGGATGTCTTGCCTACTACTAAATTAAATGCGGTCAATTTCGCGGCCTTGCCGGGAAGTCACCTCACCTGCCAGGAACGAAGGCCCTGAAACACGTATCCCCGAGGTCCACAGCTAGCATAGTAGTGGGGCCTGGACGGGCACCTTCGGGTGCGTTGTGGTGCACCAATCGTGCCTGGCCGGGACAAGGTAATGTCAGGTCATCACGACTGAGTTGACCTAATCCTAGAAACTAAATACTGAATTCTAAATTCAGCTAATTCTTAATCCATGGTTTAGATGGAATATGATTATCCAGTATGGATGCCACAGTATGGCATCATACCTCTGATGCAGCCCAAACACTAACATGGATGCCCCTAAACTTGACTTTCTCCCGCGAAAGAAGCGTTAAAGAACCAACGAGAACTTTGAAAAAGTCAGCGAGAAGTGCAGAGAGTCCCACTTGAAATGCTATCTGACTGGTAAGAAATTGTTATGCCGAGCGTATGTGGCTCTATACTAAACTATAGGTAATGTAATGTGGTTGTGGTGGCTGACGAACCGCGTTCATTGTCCGCGCTCAATCAGAAGCCGCGCTCCCGATGCGCGTATTCGCTTCTAAATGCTATAGCCTGGACATGGAAATATATAGTGGCGCCGGAGGCAATATGTTTAGCGAGCCTTCCGGCCGTCACGCACTTCTGGGTTAAACGAACGCTAAACGAGAAAACGAATATTACACTCTGCCGGTTTCCCTAATTGCAGCAACTGACGTCATTTTTGCTAAGAGCGGGGTCGGCCAATTGAATCCATGGCCCATGGTCTACTGGTCCATAGTCGACAAGGGTAAGTTTACGAAGCTTCTTGGGTTGCGTGCCTACATACCCACATACGCGTCCGTAACTAAGTTGGGCAAAGTGTCCAGCAGCCAGAGATACAGAGAGCATGCTGCAGTTTGGCAACAATGACTGACAGGCTCGTAAAACTTCGGTCCGGGACCACCGTACTTTAATTTAAGAAAAGACGTTAATAGTTATCTCTTCCCTTGCCATAGAGAAATACTGTCACATCGGCCAGGATTTGGTCCAGGACTGCGCCTCAGAGCACATAGGAGGCCAACAATCTTCTGCCAATATTAATAATCCGCAAAATTATCAGCGCAAGGTTTCCAGACTAGGGTTACTGACCTCGGATGACATGTTACTTAGTGTTGACTTTAGTTAGACGCCCTAGCCTGTAGACTATAAGATATCCAGATGTCCTCCGACCTCATACCTCAAGAATATGACCAATTCCAAGTCAGGTCAATCAAGAAAATACGGCTCTTCCCTTCTCTTTCTTCTGCCTGGCCTCAGCCGAAAATGTCTACTTACATCAGTTCCCGACAGCCTGCCGGACTCCGCAGCGGAAATTTTAGTTGGCTTCTGATGTTGTCGCTAGCTTCTGCCTCAGCCAGAGCAGCCAAATCTACGCCGAATTTTCCCGCCTGTTCCTGGATCGGGAATAGTTACCTGTTCTACAATGCGGCAATGGTAGACACAGCTGCCACCTACTGGACGTTCGACTTTACTATTGAAGACAACATGAGCTTAACGATGATGGGAACTTTCCCTGACGCAAGATATGTCTCTTTGGCCGTCTTTAATTCAGCCGGTGGTACATTCACGACATCTCTTGGGTCTAGCTCGATCTTGCCGGACTTTGAAATTGTCCCTGATGCCGGAAGCATCAATCCCTGGCAACAGGATGGCAAACCGGGGGGGAATTTCACTGTCGGTGTGGAACTTCCCTCAGTCAACGGCAGCATGGCCCTTGGTGCTTCAGAAAAAGCCAACATATTACCTCTTGCACCCGAAGGCACCAAGCCTGGCGCGGCGGCTCAGATAACTTGGCGGACATATGTTAATGCAACGGCGAATGCACCACCGACTATTATTGTTAATATCGATGGGGTCTCGAAGGTTCTCAAGCCTTGCGCGGCACCTGCACCGGAAGCCCCGATCCCTTCTGCGCCCCTACCTTCTTTCGACAACGTCACCTTCCTCCGCTACAACGATACCGATGTCCAAGCCAACGGCGACACAGCCTATCTCTTTGCCCCTGTCAAACCACCGCAAGGTGATACGGTTCTTGTCATCCAGGGCCGTTCGCCTAGGTCTCCATTGGGTGACTCCCCCAGTGTGTGGCCAACAGATGATGCCGACGTGAGGTACTGGTCTCTCTGCAACTCGATCATGCAGGCCCCGTATCCGGTAGTGGTCAATAAGGCAGGAGACGTCGGTTGCCGCCACGACAGCCAATTCCAGCTGGACGAACAGCACAAGTACCTCGCCATCGTGGGTACTGAAGCGCAGCGAGATGTAATTCAGGGGATACCAAACTCGACTTTCATACCATTTTCGGTTGATTATCCTGACACGAATCACGGACTTATCTTCCGCCAGATGATTACCGCCGATGGCTTTTCCGAGGGTGTCAAAAGAGTACCCCCTGGGTCCTCTCTAGACGCGACAGTTGCCATTATGGGTGACTACTATCCTCATGCATCGTTTTGTTCACTCAGTAGCCTTAAGGACAACGGTCCTCAAGCCTGTAGTTTATAGACACCTACTTGGATTCTTATAGCAATTCCTGTAGACGCATCTTCCACCTAGGGTGTCTTTATCCTACGTTGAACATTTATCTTTAGACATAAACTTTAATATCACTGCATAGTTTAGTAGGCCGTTAAATTAAAAGTGCCGTAGTTGATATTGATCTTAAGCTCAAAGTATCACCTTAGCAGCAATTTGCATCATATGAAGTGTTTTTGTACCTTGCGCTATCATGCTTTTTGTAGTACTCTTCACCTGTCTTTATTTTAATAACTATAGGATTACCAGCCAGAATCTCATCACCCGTCACCACTTAGGGTTTTGTTATCTGATTTGTTTAGCTGCTAGTACATCTCTGCTTCCGATATTGCTGCCACAATTTACAGGGCCTTGCCTCATCTTGTCTCTTTGCCTTAAGATAACTTAAGATAATAAAGAGCATTCGTGCAAGCATGGCCGACCGCAACCCCTCCTTGTCGAAGACCTCGAGTATCGCAATCATCGGCACGTGAGTATTATCCGTGAGCACATTTGACGAGCCTCTCTACACCAACCTAGCGCTTGAATCGCTCAATTCTTGGAGACAACCGGAATGGAGTGGTATCTTCCATGAAACGGTGAGTTGACGGCCCCAGCCTTACTTAGCTACGGTCATCTTTGGCAATTGATTCCTCACACCTTGGCCAGGGTCGCATCGTGACAACGTTGGGAGATCCTCTAGCAGATAAGCATCTCAAAGAGTCTTACGAGAACTTGAGAAAGGCCAGGCAAGCTGGCAGTCTCGAGCTGGTTGAGTGCAAAGAGCAGATTACAAAGCACATCCCCCAGCTACGCAATACAGATGGAATCAAGAAATAGAAGGGCCTCTAGAACAGCCAAGGCAGCTAAGCACATACCAAGAAGTCACTCAAGAAATAAGGTCAAAAGGCACTAGATATAAGTGTCAGGTTTATATCAAGACCTAGGGGCACCATGACTAGGCTAAATCTCAATAGTTTAGGTAACCTTGATAGAATCAAGGTTGCTTTAGGCGACATAATATATATAGATAGGTATATACTCTACACTAGAGCAGTATCGCTAGCTATATTTCTTGAATTATCTAAGGAGATATAGATAAAGTATTAGTTTTTAGCTTATTTTAAACTGAATAATAATAAAGTTACTTAGTAAAAAAAGATTTTTATTATAGATAACTTAAGTTAAGTTTTACTTTTAAACTAGATCTTAAAACTAGTAAATTAGAATCTATTAATATAATATAAAAAGTTATTAACTATTTTAAAGAGTAAATAAATATTAATAATAGATCCCTAGGCTACTAATACTATACTAAGACTTATATTAACACAACCACCCTGTTAACGAGCCACCCCCATATCCGAGCCACCATCGGCACCACCATCACTACCACTATCACCACTTATTTCACTCCCTCTTCCACCCACCCAGATGCAACTTTCGGCTTTACTAGATAATTCAGATGCGCTAGATTCATCTAGACTATCTGTATTGCTGATATCCGTATTTTGTGCCCGCTGGATATAGGCTATTGTTGCGAAGGTGCTGTAGGAGAAGTAGGGACCTTTTTCCTCTTGCCCTTGTGCTAGTTATCTAGACAGGCCTGCAGATCGCTAGCTTGTTGCTCTGTAATTGCTAGTCTAGATGCCTGCTCATTATATCCCTTTTGTAGCTTTTTAGATAGGTAACGGATAGTATAGGTATTTAAGGTATCTTTGCCTAGCTGGTTAAATAGATATAACTAATGCTACAGATCAGCAGAGTAATAAGGGGTTAACCATAGGATAGCAGATATTGCCTTATTCTATTACTAGCTACTGTTTTGCTAGCTAGCTAGCTAGCTAGATAATGCTTTTAATACTAAGGAGTTAGATAAAGGGTATTATATAGATACTAGCTATAACCTAGCCTATTTCTAGTTAGACTTTATGTTCTAGGTTATTATTACTGTTTTATATATATTAAAATAATAGTCTAAAAATACTTTTTTACTAATAATAGTTAAGTTACTTATCTAGTTACTTAGACTTTTAACTCTTTTCTAATATACCTGCTTTAATAAGCTAAAGACTAATATATTTAGAGGCTAGAGGATAATAAAGGAATATAGTAATAAAAACAGTAGATAGATATAATACTAGAAGTATTACTATATAAAGTCTATTGTTATATAGCTGTAATAGCCGTCTAGAATCAGTAGCCTAGCCTTATCTAGCTAGCTAGGTATAGTCCCTGGGATAAAGACCTTCTTTAGCTACTTAAATGTAATCTAGTTATTTGTTTAGCTATTATTTAATGCTGTAAAATGCTAGCTAGCATATCTAGATAGGTTGGACGATAAGAACCACTAAGCCTAGACTGACTTGCCCTTATATATAATAAAAAGAAGTAAAGAGGTCTTAGTAGTAGATATACACTTAATCAGTAATATCTATGCCCTAGATCTAGGCTGTTTTTTTTAGATATATTGTAATGCTATAGAGCCTAGTACTAGCCTATTACTTCTTTTGCCTTCTATAATGCTAGTCTCATCTATATTCTATTAGTTAGATAAATAGATACCCTTAATTGCTAGCAGATCTAGATAACTGAACTATTCTTGGATAGCATCTACAGTATAGGCTCTATATCGCCTAGAATCAATCGATTAGTATCTTTAGGTCCTGATTAATAGGTATTGCCGCAGGAATCGAGCTATCTATCTCTTCCCTAGAGGTCGCTGGGTATTGCCTGTTATACGCTCTACTAGGCCCTTTACTTGCTGATGGGTAAGGGCATTGCCTAGGGCAGCTTGGGTAGATATATAAGTAGCCAGATTAGCCTCCTGTGACTGCGATAATCGCTGATAATCAACCCACGCAGTATTTTTGCTTTGCCTGCCGTGCAGCTAATGCTGAAGGGTCTGGTATGGTATACCCCAGTTACGAGCAGCCTGGCGGATAGGGCAGCCATCTGCTACGTCTGCAAGGGCTCGTTGGAGCTCAAACTCAGTGTATTGCTTCATGGTGTAATAGAGAAGGTATCCTAAAAAGATGGCGTTGTTCGGCGACAAATAGCAATTGTTGCAATAGTTTGAAAAAAGGGATGTTCTTGACGATGCAGCAATTTCGGATGGCTCGGATGTGGGGGTGGCTCTCTTGTGGGATGGGTGGGTTAATCCCTTAGGCAAAGTAGAACACTATTTAATCCCTTAATATATAAGCATATATCCAGACAATAGTATCCTTAACAAAGCCGCAAATACTATCAAACGCTTCGTTAAAACTATCATGCCTCAGTTTTCAGGGCAGCCACTCCTCAGCGCTAGAGTCTATTGGTATACCAACTCTCCTAGCGCCTACTAGCTAATTAATAACCATCCAAAACACTAATCCCTTCTCCTTACTATCAGCAACTCAGGCCACGCCTTCAAAATGTTCCTAATCATTAGAGACTATATTTTAGACGCTTTGGAAAGAAAGGAAAGGGGCCTGAGAAAAGAATGAAGTATAGCAACAGAAAGTCAAAGCCTGTCGCAACTCGTCCAGGAACAGAAGTCAAGGACCTTAGAGACATCATGCACCTGAAGACCAAATAGAGACTCTAGATCACTTAATAAAAGATAAATACCAGACATAAGTTCACTCAATGAAGACGGCTTCTTATGGATCTAAGCAGAGAAAATACCACCCAAAAATCGCAAATCACCGCCCACCCGCAAACATAACAATCAAGAGAGCGGATTATAAAGTTTCGTACTCAACCCTTGTTTCTGTTGTGACCCTGATACTCATGCTTGCCACTCGCTGAGGCAGATTGGGACAACACTGTCAACACTGCTGCCATCCTCGCCACTTTGTTTCGATTCGATAATGGTTTCGCGATGTCCCGCGCAGTCTCTGCGAAACGCGTTGCCTGACCAAAGTTTCGCGATGTCCTCGTTCATGCCGTTCTTCGGCATCTCGTTTAACGAAAGTGAGAAGTCGTTGTGCAAACGCAACTCATAGGCCTAGTACTAAACATTATGGCGTTTTTTGTTATTTTCAATTGTCGTTGAGTAAGGGTTCATGGTTTGAAAGTTTTAATGGTTCAGATTCGATTCACTGGACTTAGAGCAGCCAACGATGCGAGAAGTAACAAAACTGGGTAGGTACCGCATGACAAACGGCTTAAGGGCAGGAACAGACGCGCAAACGACCCCGGCATTCACTTCGACTGATGCCCAGTTTAATTGTTTTTTGATATCAAAGGTGTAATCCCTCCTTGTGAATAGCGGTAGGAGAAGAATCGTGCGTCTGATGGCACAAATACATACGCTATGGGATTGTCAGCAACATCACAGCTTCCACAACGATGAAAGAGTGTGTCAACTCACAATCCGCCTGTGGCGAAAAGAAGAATTAGAGACAATTTCTGCCTCCTAGCCATCTGGAGAGGGATGATGATTTTGAAGGGGAGGGTCAGACAAACGATATCCATCATAATATTAGTTCCACTAAGAACCAGATAGACTATGTTCTTATCAACGCATGTCGCCCCTACCCTCGCCGAAAGATCCCACGAGGCTCAAATCAGTCTGCAACTAAGCACAATCAAGAGCAAGAATGTTAAGGCATAGGCCATAGCAAAGCCATTAAACATCATGGTAACAATTCTAAACCACCAATCTAGCAAAAGACGTAGGTAGAGGACAAGCAGGGAGAGTTTCGCCGTCGTAACGCTAAGGGAATAGACAACAATCGCAATCAAGCTATGCTGGATGCTTAGTCGTGGATAGCCTGAATTGCTGGTGGTAGCTCAGATCAGTTCTAATATGCAACAAGGGATGCACCAGCAGAAATGCAGGAGAATAATCGGCGCGTTTGACCTGCCACATGTAGACTCCCACGCTAAGCTCACACACTAGCAAAGTCAGCAGAGACGGGGATAGGCGAGCACTGCGAGCTAGACTCACGTTTGATTAAAAGACCGTAGAAGATAATAGCCAGCCCCAGTGAGATACCAATAAG